AAACAACCGCAAGCCGGCGTTGCTCAACGGCGTCCACTTCTCCGGCCCAGGATACGATCGAGGCTCGCGTCGAGGCTGGCTTGCACGCGCCTCTGCTCCTCCTCCCTGGCCCGCTCCTTGACGTCGTTCCGCCGTGCGTTCCCGCTGTCGCCGCGGTGGTAGCCCTGATTATCGTCCACCATGCCGCCGCCACCCCGGTGTCTTCCGCCCCGCGCGGTCCGCCCAGGCCCGTCGTTTCCCGCGGGCATCGGCGGGTCCGGAGCGTACCGTGCCTGGTACTTGCGCAGTAGCTCCCTCTCGCGCCCCTTGTACTGCCGCAGCTCGGAGTCCACGAGGTGGAGACGGCTGCGCCCCGCGGCGGGTGCGAGTAGGCGGCAAAACCAGAAAACGATCAGGAAACGGATTCATGCTGGGTTGTTCTCATTAGACACCATGACGAAGGCGTCTGACCCTAGGCCTCGCGACTCTACAAGACACCCAGGACAGGGGGCAGTTGGGTTTGCGGGGTCGCGTAGCGCCAAAGGGGCGATGAGTTTGTCTAGGCTAGCACTCCTGCAGGCCGACAAGACCTCGCTTTGCGGCTACACTTGCGGCGGCAAGAGCGATACGAAATGCCGAAAGCGGAACAGCGGGCTAACAAGTGCAAAAAAAAAAAACGGAATCGATTGGGGTCTCGTCCTTGGCACGAGCTCTTGGCCCTGCGGCAGGGCAGGAAGACCCAATCAAACCTCGGCCCGCCGAAACAGTAAAGAACAGATTGGAAATGCATGAGGGTTCAACGCCTGCCGGCAAACACACGAGCACCCTTGAAGTTGGGATAGACGCGCCGTGATTCTTGCCGTCGCGGCCATGCTGGTGATGGGGAAGGAACTGCCTGTGCCTAACACTGCTTTCGATTTTTTTTGTTTCCCTACAGGTTAACAGAGACACGATCAGCTCAGCCCACCTGGGGTCGTTCTGGAAGAGGAGTTGGCGGATCGCCTCCTCGTACGGTTTCCAGGGAACCTGTTGCAAGAAAATATCGAAGTAGGGGTTGGGAATGGTCGAGAACAGCGGAGGCAACGGCCTCGTACCCTTTCCGGTCGTCTCGATGACACCAGAGCAAATCAGTCTGACCCTTCTCTCTTGCCGCTGCGCCGATCTGCTGAACGGCTTGTTGTGTCTTGGTGGAGCCTCGTTTCTCATGTCTACAAGTTAGGTCCACTGCTGTTGTCTGAGTAAGTTGCGGGCAAAGACTCGCCGTTTTGCACCTTGCGCCTTGTAGCAAGAGAGGCTAAAGGTCAGACTCCATTGCGTCGTCCGCCACGACACACGTTCAAACAAAAAGCGGGCGTGATACTTTTTCTCCAAGAGCATCATACGTATTGCACCACACCACACATATAACGGGGGCTCCACTTCACATGAACGAATATGTTCGGGTCCAGGGCCCTTGCGATACATACGAGGGCCGTCGCCTCAAACGGAAGTCTGGAGAAGAAAGCGATTCAACACTCTTGCGGATAGCGTCCCTCGTGTGTGACCCCGGCCAGTCGTTCAAACACCAAACTGAACGGTCGACATCGGCGAACAGAAGGGGGATGACAACCCCCACCGCCCACTCACTATGTTCGTGTTGACATGCAACCAAGCGACAGCGTCAAAACAGCTGGAAGTACAATAACTGCCGCCGTCATTAGGCAGGGTAGTGCACGCGCTCGCAAGCGGCCATCTGCACTTCCCCGTGTTCCGTTTGTCCTGAAAATACACTGGCCCCGAAAGACGGCGGCAGGCAAGATGTCAGGTCTGCTCGTGTTTCCATCATCGTCGCAAGTCGGGCCACCATCTCGTACACAGCAACAGAGTGGTCTCACACGTCAGTACCTAATAGCTCGTGCACAAACAAAACCATCCCTCCCGTGATGACGTGTGGCAGCCTGGGCAAATTACCACCCGGTGTGTCCCTGGTGCAGGGTACTCAGAGTTTGTCGATTCAGGTGTGTTCCTTCGGCAAGCACGGTCACCGCGCGTCTCAGTGTTACTAATCGAAACCAGACGCATGCACGCGGGCTCGCGGCTTTGTGCATGCTGTCGAGAACTTCCCCTGTCCTCTCGAACGCGCCACGTTACCGCTCAACAAGGAATACCGGCGATTTTTCAGCAAAAACCAAACTCAACAAAAACACATCGCAACACACACAGCAACGAAACAGAAAAGCGCAGGACGTTTTGGGTTCCCAATATTCTATCGTGAGCTCACCGGGTCGTCGTCTGGTTTGTTGCCGCTGAACGCGTTGGAGCACAGGGCCTTGGAAACCAACAGCGAGACGGCCAGAACCGCGAACGGCTCCACACCAAAGCCTTTCCCCGCAGCAAGGAGGGCCGCAGCGACTGGGACCGCCCCGCGCACCACCCCCAAAGAACAGCAAGGACAGAGGCGCAGAGCGAAAGCAAGCGTTGATTCAGGATATTCAGCCGCCGGAGTGCAATGCGCAAGAGCGGCGGAGGAGGGAGAGACCCGGCCAACCAGCACCGGCTGTGAGGCGCGCAGTTTGTTCCCTCTCCGGCTGTTGTTGCAGCGGGGGGAGGGTCGTCATCAATCGAGCTCCGGACGGTCGTAGCGGTGTACCGCTGCTGGATTCCTGGAAGCGCACCGAACCAGGACTAACACATTCACGGACGGGATGAACTACACACAGTTACCTTCTCTACTGGTTTGCTCGAACGCCGTGCCAGCTTTGCGGTACTGCCGAATGCAACGGGAACAAGACGCCCACGACTACAGTGCCGAAATGCAAACCTGTTACCGGGGGGATTTGCTGGACTGGTCGGCGACAAAACAAAACCCTCCCCACAAAACTCGGACGAGACGGTTTATGGTATGCGTAGTCTTTGCTAAATACATACCGCTAGAAAGATAATGCAGTTTCTGTCTTACCTACCCCACGCCTGGATGCCGAGAGCACGGTGATCAACAGGCTGAAGGCGCTCCAGCAGTAGAACCCCTTTTCGCCGAACTTAATGTCCATTCCGCTGAAAAATTGCGGCAGGGTTGTCGGAGACACCGCGTGAGTGATTTCTTGTGATGTAGATCTTGAACCGTGTTATTATATTTTTCGGATTGTCTTCACTTCAAAGCAGCGCTGACAGCAGTTGTGCTGTTTGGTTCAACCCATGGTCACCCAGAAGGGTCCTCTCCCTGAGGCCTCTACCCACCCCTCCTGCCGTACTATGCCTTTGATTGTTGATGCGAGAACGAGTGCAGCACTCTCAGTACGGACAGATGAAGGTACTGGGTACAGAAATCGGAACGGTTTTACGTGTGAAGGCAACAGCAACAACAGCAAATCTCCTCCCTCTGTGTGCACACGAACTACAGCAGTAGCGCAATCCACCCAGGCCAGGAACGGAAGCGAGAGAAAAAGTGGCTTTGAAATAAAAGCTACACTCACGCCAGGATTCGAACCCCTGACCTTGACCCTGGCCACTAGAGGGCTCTCGATGTACCACCTAGACGGCATCAGATTATGAATGTTAGAAAGGCTTACCCATTAGACGACTCAGTTAGCTGCGCTGAGTAGTCTAATGAGTAAGCCTTTCTAACGTAAGATATACTCTCGGCTCGTAGCCACCCGGCTGGTCACTGGGACTTTAGAAGTAGGTATCTCCGGGGACGGACCCCTCGCCAGGCGCTGCCGGAAAATAAATGGCGAATGGGTAAGCCTTTCTAACAATGAATTCAATGAGATGATGTTTTCGATTCAGGGAGGTTTCCACCTGCTGCGTAGGGAGGCCGGGGTTGGGAGGTCACCAACTAATTTTCCACCCCCGTGAGGGGCGACCATGAAAATACAAAAATACCGTGCAAGAGGCGGAGATATGGTACCCCTTACAACAGACCGATTTTCAGAGCTCGATGACTCCACAACCAAGATCGTGCCAACACCCAACACCACAAGTGGTGGTTTTGGAAACATCTCTGTATGATATGAAGCAACAGGCTATTTCCGCGCCTCTCATGGTAGAGTACCCCAAACAAACTACGCTGCTGCATTGTATGTACACATGATACGGACGACGCATGCAAACAAAAAGGGTAACTCAGTGTTAGACTCACACAAGCTCAAAATAAGGCAGGTCTCCAGTTGGTTTCAATCCACTTGCTGAAAAGACTTCACCAAATCCCTTTCGACTGAGGTTATATATCTTGAACGGTAGTTGTTCTTTCTGTGACGTTTTAGGCCACTTGTTACGCTGTCTCTTTTTGGGCTGTCCCTTTTCTCAAAAAGAGACAACTGACCAAAAATCACTTGTTACGTGGTCTTTTTTTCGGTTTTTGAACCTCCCGAAAAGGGACAGCGAAAAAAGATCACCCCATCCTGTCCCGTTTTGGGCAACTTTGTGCCTTTTTGAGAAATGGGACAGCCCAAAAAGAGACAGCGTAACAAGTGGCCTTATTATGTTTACTTTCTAAAAATGGGCAAAGAGAGTCAGTGTGACATGCGGGTGTCACCGCTACTGCTATTAGCGCGTTCCGAAAGGAGGCACTTCTGCTGTAAGGAGCATTGATCACACGGGGAGAAAAAACAATCGACAGGCCGTCCTTGTGTACATCCGGTAGCGCCTCTCTTCTCGCAGCAGGAAAACAAACAGCCTCTTTGAGATCCGACTTTGCCGTTGATGGTGGAACTGCTGTAGAGCCTAAAAGAGCAACCGACCACGAAGGGCAGAAAAAAAAAACATGGCGACGCGTCCGTGTTACCTGTAGATGCCGCATAGGCCCACCGAACCCATTAGAACCGCCATCATCGTCCATAACGCGCCCATGGTCTACCAAAATGCGATATCAGCTCAACTCCACGGCACAGCCAGCAGGAGTAACAGCGGCATGTGTTGCATGCATCCGGCAGGGTCGCACGGTTGGGTATCGCTGTCGATTCTACAAGGTACCTAAGCCTATATCTCCGAGTCATTCCGCGGAGTCTCCGATGCGCGTGTGATGCGTGTCAGCAGTCAGAGTAGCCGCATCGTATTGAACATAGACCATGAACCTCACCGACGAGCAGCGCCGGCGAATGGAAGAGAACCGCGCGAGGGCCAGGGCTCGTTTGCGCGAGAAAAGAGAAACGTGAGCGCGGGCGTCTTCCTTGTTCTTCTGTTTGAAGTAGGTAATTTGAATTTGTTTCTGCGGAGTGTCTCAAAGCGTTTCGCGACAGTGCAAGCGCCTGCGTCCACAGGTGCGCGGCTGCTGCGTTGGAAGTCACCAACAGAGGACATATCAAGTGTCAAGAAATATTTACTCTCGTACCGCCAGATGTATTGCTGCACTACTGCTGCACTTAGATAAAACTGCAGGTTCGGCTGCAGAGGCTCAAAATCGCTGTCGCTGTCACGAAAATTGCGTTAACTCGCGCGCGCTTCTTGGGGCACATCAGTATGACTCAACTGTAATCGATGACAATAATCTACATCAGTAGTCTATGTAGAGGTTACATGTTGCTCCACTTTTGGTCAGAGTGCCCACCATGCTGGGGTGCGTTTCAGATTCTGTCCAACCCATGGAGATACGCCACTTTGCTTAAATACTCAACCGCGAAAAGTAGTTGAATTCATCTTGTGGGTCCACCTCTGCGTACAGAGACAACAACCACACTACATTTTTTTTGTAGCTCCCATCATTGGACTCTGTCGTCTGCCCCTCTGGCCCCTATCCTCCACTTCTACCAGCTAGACGACCCAACCGGAGTCACATAGGAGGGGCGGGGTTGGACCCCCTCCTGCGGTTCCTGCCTGAGATATTTTTATCGCGAGACGTATACTGCTGTGGATACTTGACATTACCGCGTACGTGTCTTTCCCCGAAATCAACAGGTGCCCCTTGTTGTCACGTCCAACAAAGCGCCCTTGCCGTTTTCTTTCCACTCTATTCACCCAACAGGCAAATCCCTGCAGCCTCGGAGATTGACGGAGGTGAAACCCGCGCGTCTCCACCACCTACCAGCGGCCCAGAACCAAAACAGGACGGCGGCGAAAGAGCTGGCAGTGCTGGTAGTGCTGGTGGTGCAGATGCCCAACCCGAAGAAGATCAAAAAGGACCAGCCCCACCGTCGACTCAACAACAACCAACAACCATTGCAGCAGCGGGGGCAGCAGCAGCACCTGCATCGGCAGCAGCAGCAGCAGCAGCAGCCCCTGCATCGGCAGCAACAGCATCAACAGCAGTCACTCCACTAGCGAGTGGCTCCACCAGATGTGGAGGAGGGGGTGCGCGAGGAACTCGCGCGGGCGGCGGGGGTGGGGATAAAGGTAGAGCGGTCGGTAATATTAGTAGCAGCGCTGGTGGCGGAGCAGGGGCGGCAGCGGTCGCGTGTGAGGGGTGTGGAGGCGAGCAGGACGATGCGCGGATGGACAAGGAGCTGCTGGAAGCGTTCGGGATTTCTGTGTGCCGCACTTGCAAGGTCGGTCATAACCCGACCGTATCTACATAACGCGAGATGTGTTGGGTGTGTTGTCAATGGGAGGGGACGAGAAACACCGGAAAAATCGAGAATATTCTTGGTCTTTGGGGGGGAGGGATTTTCTCATGCTTGCCTTTCCCCTTGGTCCATGGCTTGGACGAAACAACCTTCATGATTCGGTAACAGTCTCTTGTCGCTCGCCACGATGGCCCCCCGATTCCTCGTCCGGTGACTTAATACGGTTCCTGGACTTCGCCTGTGTCTGCTGCTGTGCTGTACCTCTGCTGCTACCGCAGATGTCGCGAGAAGAGTTCCAGTACGTTACCACCAAGGACGTAAAGGACACGTACCTCCTGCCTCAAGGCACCATTGCCGTCCTCAAGTTTGTCGAGCGGGACAACCCACATCACTCTAGCTGGACAAAGGTACGCTATTCAGCTGAATTTTTCTTACGAAAGCAAGAAGTACTTCGTATGCATAGCAATCTATGTCGCCGAACGTTGCCTGTTTGGACTTTTACAAAAGACAGAACCTTCCCTTTGGATCCATTTTCTCGGGAAGTGGGCAGACCTTGAGGTCAGCTGCATGCCGTTTTTTCTGCAACAACCCTCCACGTACGACGTTTTGTTGTAGTTGCGTGGGATCCTTATTTTTCATGAGAAACAACTTTTGGATAGAGTGTCTAGCGTCACACCGGTTTGATGACCCACTGCTTTGTATCGAGGTGTTGAGTCACAGATCATGCCGGTTTTTCTTTGCTCTGCTCTATCGATGCCACGTATCGCTTCATTAGGTCATAGTGTATTGAACATGCCGGTTGTCTTTGTTTTGCTTCGTCGATGCCATGTGTCGCTTCGTTGGATGGATGCGTTTCAGCAATCGAGCATTTTGACCAGCAAGACCACACGCTCATTGTGTCTTTCGAGGTTACAGTACTCCCTGCCGAAAAAATGAAAGCACCCGCAGCACGGCTACCTCTCTCTGGCTCCGTCGCTGCTTCTCTGTGAGTCTGCGTGAATAGTCAGAATTATTTGTGCTTGGCCGTCTCTATCGGCCCCTTTCTCATTTCTTGTCGCAATTGCCGCGCGAGTTTATCTCGTTCGAGGTGGGCCAACTTTGATCATGCCCCGTGCAGAGCGTAGATCACTTCCAAACGCAGTTCCTTTCTAAACACATTACACTCTGTGCTTCTCTTCTCCCTCTCATGCATCCCCTAGCCCTAACCCACTGGCTCGCTTCCCGTTCTGTCCTCGCTCCTTTCAGATGAAGCTTTACCTTCGTAGAGAGGTCGTGGCGTACAGTTATAGGCGTTGGGGTAGTGAGGACGGCCTCGCTGCGGAGAGGAGAAGACGAGAGTCACTCAAGTACGACCGATCCCTCGCGCGGACCAAGGTGTGTGCCACAGGCTTTCGTTCGGCACCGAAGGTTGTGTAACAGCAGCCAAGAGCACGGTAGGAACATCCTGCCTTCTTTCGAAAACTGAGAGTGTGGCGTGCTAAGCACCACGAGGTAGCTTCATAGCTCGTATTGGTTTTCAGTCATTGTTGGCGATATCGGTACTGTCGTACGGAGATTTTGTCAAGGTGTATTTTCAGGCGGCCACACAAACGATGCCGGGGTGGTTCTGCACTCTGCGGCGGAGGAGACGGAACCGATATTGCGGGGTTAGCAGGAGTCGTCGCGCCACCACACCGCCGTAAGGGTCCTCTGCTGGAGGCTCGGCTGTTGTACACGACCATGATGACTGTTGCCCACTGACTCCTATTTTTCACCTTGCCCCCCCGCCCCCTCCTCGCTGCGACAACTCTCCCCGTACCTCTCCGACCCGAAGGGCATATTCAAACGTTCCAGATCCGAAACAGAGGACGATGGCGTCGTAGGGGGCTTCCTATGACGCCTTGTACGAGATTTGAAGTCCGGAAGCTGCTCCTTTGTCGACCCACGAATATTCGATGGCGGTCTCCTGCGTGTTTTGCTTCGCATCCCGGGTACTGCCGCTTTTATGGAATAAACCATGGATCTGTTTGATTTGCAGGATATATGGGTTCCATGCGCAAGATATGCATGTGCGTTTGGGGGTCTTCCTCCACGTCCCACACGTTGGCCCTTCGTATCTTCCTTACTATGGCGTTTCTGTAGTGTGAAGGGAGGAGTGGACTCTTTTTCTCCCCATGGGTGAATGAACTCACTGTAGGTACTTGCGCACCTGACGGGTCTGCCCCAGGTGTTCGCAAAGACAGCATATGTTGCTTCATGTATGAATAGGATTTGGCTGGCAGTTTGCGAGTTGCTCACGCAAGTAAGTGAGAACCCTTTACCCCGATGTGAAAATAGCCATGTTCAAAAAGTGGCGAGTTCGGGGCCAAGAAAACGATCGAAGGGACGAGACGCTTTGGTACCCGGGACTCCCGACTATTGTATGTCGCGCGGTCGGCACTGCACCGAATGCTGTCCGGCATGCCCTGCCATATCTAGGGGCGTGGTGCGGGAATCCCGAACGCAGCAGCCTCCGAAGCCGGGACTTTTGATACATCGGAGCACAAATGTCCACCCTACCCAGCTGATCCCGGGTAGTCAAAATGGAAGGGTGGCGACCTGCGTGCATCGCCCTGTTGCGCCCGCTGCACCGACGCGGTGAGGTCCACGGTTAACGGCCCCACAACAATCTTAAGCTGGTTGTGTCCCCCAAAAGTCAGCTTCTTGTGCGGGACCGGAAGGCGCCCGTCGCGCTCAGGGGGGGCGTACCGTACCGGCAGTGTCGGCCGTGTCAGCTCCTGCGCTCCGCCTCCCATCGACGAACGCCCGCACTCCCTTCTCTAACAGCTCCCTGGGTGGGCCGCCGCAGTTTCCGACCCGGGCTGTGTCAAACACGCAGTTCGGCTGCTTCTGGTTCGAATGCTGGGACGCAGCCGGTCGTTCTCCCGCTGGCGGTGGGCCGGATCCGGGGCGGCTCGGCTCCCGACGGCTAGGTGGTGCAAACGGCGAGGGGATGTGACTCTCCCCTCTCACGCGCTCTTGATCTGACGTCCGGCACGTACAACAAGAAAATGCAGTCAAATCAGCAGGTAGACCTTTTGATCGAGATATAGCATAGCCCTTGGAAGGTTTTGAGGTAAAAAAAGTTGGTGTGTCGAAATCATGAGGAGTGTTCAACAAACACCAACCAGCACTGGACAATTTTGGCAGCGATCCACCCCTCTGGGGCAGCACTCCCTGGAAAATACATTATTATTGGGGGGCAAGGGCAAATACTGAACTGAGCGATCCCTTCTTTGCCGCATACGGCTATCAGCAAGACGAGCGAGCAAACCACGCGTAGTGGTACCCTTTAGAAGTACTCAATTTCCATTGAAACGCATCGAGAGGCGGGTTGGCACTTTAACATCGTTCTCTCTTGTGCTCTTGGTACACCCCCAAGGTTACTCTACTTTGACCCGTTCAGGCTGTGAGGAAACTGACGCATGGTATCACTTTTGCAATTGGGAAGACGGCTCAACAGAGGAAGTACTTTGCTATCGACTCCGCTCTCCAACCTCCCATCTGCATGATCCCGTCAATGGCGGAGCGGCAACATGACAACATCACTCGCCGATTATCGACTGGCCCGAAAAATGCGGCGGAATTGCAGGGACAGTTTCGCCGCATTACTCACTCACGTGGTAGCCGCTTGTACAGCGATTGCTGTAGCTTCTCTCGTTCCTCTACTGTCGATCGGCATGGCCTTCCTGTTGGACGGGTGGTTTAAGACAGACGAGGATGACATCAACGATCTGCCGCCAGATCTCAGGGACATTTACGTCAACCCCTGGAAGGTAGGCACCAGACTCTTGTTTGGTGAGTGCCATGTAGACCGTCGGCAGTTGTTCCGCCAGGGATCGTTTGAATGCGTGCTGGAAGTTTCCAGCCGCGAGTTTTCGTCTGCAACCGGATGAAGCCTTTCACGTAGCAAGGCTGCGTGCCCACGATGAGTAACACCGATGGGTACGGTTACGGTGCTTTAGAAGTCCGAGGAGTCAATAGACTTTGTGCCCTCGGATGTCAATCTGGGGGATGTTCAGTGTGATTCAACCGCAGTGCAGTAGTCTAGTCCAGACTATTTGTTTTATGGGGGATGTGTGTCTCGTAGTCGCTGATTCTTCCGCGTAAGAGCGAGTGTAAAGCTTATAGCCCTTTCCATACTAGGATGTCCTTGGTTCGAGGAAATAGAGTCAGCTGCACTGTCCAACCATCACCATGGTACTACAGCGAAACCAGATGGTACACCATGTTCCTGACCTTGGCATGTACCCCGGACACCTACGTAACACTTGAGAGGTAAAGCTGTGCCCTTGCTTCTACAGTATATCATTCATGAACGCACCGACCGTTCATACCTAAAAACGGATGTTTCACAGCTCTTGTATCCAAAATCATTCTTATTTTACGGGTGGGTGTTCGTTGTTCTCGAAAATGCTGAAATTTGACTTAGTCTGACGGTGTCGCGGTTGTGCCCGTGTGATGAGCGACGATTTCGCTTCGTCACCATATCCGCCATGATCCTACATCAGAAAAAAAATAAGTTCCGAGCTGCAGCACTGGATGAAAGAAACTCCATACCTAATCCGACCTCGGCGAAGCTTCCTATGGCCGGAACGCACCATCACCCAGTCCCTTGAAACGAGGAAATTCCCGACGGCATTCCATTCGAACCACTGACGTTCATATATCCTCCCTGGTATTGATATTCAATGGGTCATACTAGTAGTGAATCGCAACTGCTATCTGGTGGCTGCCATACTTCAATATGCAACCCCTTCCTTCTTGCTGAAGCCTTCCGTACTGCACCACATGGGCACCTATGATGAGGTACAATCTCTAACGCGAAGTTCTTCAAAGCAATGCCCAATCTTCATGTTATACGCAAAGCGACCGTGTGTGCCTCTGTCGCCTTCCCCTTCGCAATTGTTTCGTCGCTCTGTTAAGATCTTCGGACTTTCCAACGAATCAACACCATGGGACTTGAGGGACGCTTTTCGACAGGTGGGGACACACGCGGGGGGGAGGGGGTCCACAGCGGAAATGTGGACCACGACCATGATGCAGGGTATTTGAGAAGGAGTCCAGGTCTGTGTCATTCTGTGTGACATTGTACCGCGAAAAGCCGGCCAACACCTCAAAAGTCGGCACAAGCTTGCCCGCCTATTGTGCAGGCCTAGCCAGCAAGTCGCCAATGTTTCACTTGCGCCCCCCTCACCTGAACTCGACACCCAGTTTCACCGTGCTGCTCGTTGGCAATCCTCCTGTGATCGGTGAAACACATTATATTCAGCGATGTTTACAGATGACGACGGACTTCACTGGCCTCCATGGCCTCGCCAAGCACAGCTTTCACAACTTCCGCCAGGTGCAGTGAACCCTTCCGGATCCGAAACGTGCATCCATTACCATGGGAAGCAACCCCCATCGTATGCCTCCTTTTCCCGCAGCCTGTCGATACTCGGCAGTCTTGAGGTCATGAACGTTCACGTTCACACCTCACGATTTTCTTATCTGGATCCACACGATGTACGCGCTCGGTGCTGGGCAAACTATCGATGCACGTGCTGTTCGCCTACTGATTGTGTACGGGCAAGCTGGCCGGCTTCGTAGGCTGTCTATCCACATCGATATTGAGGTCACGAATTTCACTCTTGAGCATTGACTCATCTGCTGAGTTCACACTACACACGTGCTCGATGCTGAACAAAGCGTATCGAAGCAGGTGCTGTTCACCTACCTAATGTGCACGGGCAAAGCTAGCTGGCTTCGTAGGCTGTCTATCCACATCGGTATTGAGGTCACGAATTTCATTTCTACGCATTATCTGGTCCGGCGAGTTCACACGACGCATGTGCTCGATGCAGAACACAACGTATCGAAGCAGGTGCTGTTCGCCTATCGAATGTACACGAGCAAAGCTGACTGGATTCGTAGCCTGCCTATCCACGTCGGTCGTGAGGTCACGAATTTCACTTTTACGCATTATCTGGTCCGGTGAGTTCACACGATACATGTGCTGCTCGATGCTGAACAACACGTATCGAAGCAGGTGCTCTTCGCCTACCGAATGTGCACGGGCGAACTGGCGGGGCCAGCCGGAAAACTCTCCCGCTCGCTGGACGGCTCGCCCCTGCTGCAGAACACGAACCCGTGGGACATCCTCAATACTCTGCGCCCCCTAAAGTCCAAGGTGTGTGCCAGTATCCTAGCCTTGGCAAGTGCTTTAGACCCGTCCTAACGCACAGGTTCTCGCATGTGGATATTGGTCATTTGTCGCAAGTTTGCTCGGGCACAACGTTGGTGTTGTGCCAGCCCGATCCTGAGATAAAAACCGGCGTGCCCCCCCGATCTTGTAGGCATTCAAGGTAGATTATCAAACATCATGAAAGGTATTCTGAACATGATTGTTCCCTTTGCTGTTGCAGTTGATCCTGTCACTGTCGCTCCCGTCGATCTTCCTTTCTCTCTTCGCTCCTTGGGAGGACCTAGGGGGTAAGCGTGGGGCCCAGCGCGAGGGCATCTAAGATGCTCGCGGTGCAGCTCAAGAGCGCCGTGACGGTGTTCGGGGGCAAGGGGTCCAGCGGGATGCCTCGCGTTGCGTTCGAGTTTGAGGTGAGAGTACGGACGGGCTTGATGGACGAGGTGCAATACGACATGCTGAACCATCGTTCCTGCCCTGCTGTCTCCCTTCGCTATGGCCTCTTCTTGAAGATACGCCGTCGCTATGCGTCCCCATCTTTGCCCGTGGTTTAGCTCTTTTCGTGTGGACAACCCACCTCGCTCCCGATAGAGCCCGCCGCCCCTTGTGCTACCGCCATCTAGCGACATCACGCGTACTAATTTCACGCCCCGCCCCTACCCTCAACATAACGACTAACTCCGCGCCATTCCTTCCGTTTTCCCTGCACCAAATCACCAATTCTGTCGGAAAAAAACACAGGTGTCGTACTGTATGCGGATCCATCGCGTGGAGAGGTTTTTGAGCGACTTTGAGCAGCTGCATGCGAGGTTGGCCGCCGAGCTCATCATCCTTCCAAACTTTCCCGAAGGGGGAGAGATCAGTTCTCTCTTAGGTGCGTGCACGGAAAATAAAGCCGGGACTTGTTCGACACAGACGCACGAAGTTCCTTGGGGAGATGAAAAATCAATTTCAGTGGGGGCCCCGACGTAACAATCCCCAGTGTCACAATGTGGCCGCTAATCAGGGAGGTCGAAAAAACCGAACGAACAATAATATTGCAGTGTACTACCGGGGTGCAGCAGTGCCACGTGACTTTGTGGTCACCGGACATGTCGCTAAACAGGGGTTCGCTACA